TTATGCTAGTTCAAACTCTAGAAGAGTTAAGGCAAACTTTAAGCAGATCGGAACAGCAGGTGTTTATTTGGAAATTGGAACATTTGGATTTCATTTAATTTGCTTTGTAAATATGTTGAAATAATTGAATTTCATTTTTGCAGGCGGTTTTTAGAGAAGACATGCTTAGGAGAGACATTGAGGACCTTCAAAAACGATACCAAGTAAATTCGGCTTCCATAAATAATTTTATCGGGTCAATAATATGTTCTTGTATTCATCTGTGATTCCTTACCTTTGATGGAATTGGAATTCAAGATTCCGTTCTATGGCGTCTTTGGTTGCCAAATAGACGGAATTTAATTCCGTTGGAATTGGAATCCTTCAAATCACATGTTTGATGGATTTCATCATTCCTAGGGCAGGGTTGAGGGAATTCAATTCCGTTCTTTGTTTTACTTTAAAAGACTAAAATACCCTTACTGTATCATTTGTCTCCAGGAAAGTGAGCGTAGATGTGAAGAGTTGGTCATGCAAGTTCCTGATTCCACTAGACCTCTTTTGAGGCAAATAGAAGCCATACAGGTTTGCTTACCTTTTTACACTTTTTTTCTTTTTTTTCTAATTTTCACTACTTGTTTTTCTCACTACCCCTTTATGTAAATAGGAAGCAACAGCTAGAAGAGCAGAAGCTTGGACAGCTGTCGAGAGATCACTGAACTCACGCCTTCAGGTAGGTTCTACAAAATAATATATATTAATATCATTAAATCATTATTTGATTCACTAATATTTATAAATTTGAAGGAAGCGGAGGCCAAATCTGCAGCTGCAGAGGAAAGGGAGCGTTCTGTAAACGAACGCCTGTCCCAAACATTATCTCGTGTAAATGTTCTTGAAGCTCAGGTGATTGATTATGTTTGTTAATTGGTTAATTTGTTTCAAGTTTATGGAAAGCATTGGCTTAATTTTTATAAAATGTTGCAGATTTCATGTTTAAGAAGTGAGCAAACGCAACTTACTAGGTCACTTGAGAAGGAAAGACAGAAAGCAGCAGAAAGTCGACAGGTGTACTTAGCATTAAAAGAGGAGGCAGATACTCATGAAGATCATGTGAATCAACTTCAAGAAGAGATAAGGGAACTCAAGAGAAAGCACAAGCAAGAGCTCCAAGAAGCATTGACCCACCATGAACTTCTTCAGCAGGTTCCTTTATTTTTTAGTGATGATTTTAAGATATTTAAGAAAATGATGACACACTTGGGAAAAAAGAAAATGAGGGAAAATATTTAAAAAGCTACGACTTAATGGGGAAAGCCTCTTTTCCTGGACTTTATCTGTTAACTCATTCTTTCTTATTAAGGCATTGCACCTTGAAAAATGTAGGCATTTATAGCATTGTACTTTCAGCTTTTTATTTATTACGGCATAATACTTTGAAAATATACCCAAACATAGCAATGAGAAGTGCTTTGTATTTGAATGATATTGCTATAAATGATATATTTTTCAAAGTACAATGTTGTAATAGGAAGAAATGAAAGTAGGATGCTAAAATAAACAGATCAATGAAAGTGTGTTGCTATTTCTTGCTTTTAACAATTTTTTTGCATGAGGAGTATTTGCTACAACACAACCTTTAAGTCTATATTGATTAATGATTATTACGTTCTCTATTAATAAAAATACTTTTAATTAATATAAAGTATGTTTATGATAATAATAGGATATAGAACGTGAAAAAGCTGCACGTTTGGAATTAGAAACAACAGCTCGACTTCAATCTTCTATTGTTCCTGAACAAAGTCCAATAGCCAGAACCAAGTCTTCCTATGAAAATGGTAATTAAACATTTATAAACATTATTCTCTCTGTTTAGGATCCATTTTCTCTTATTTTGTTTTTTAATTTTCGGACCTCTTTTGCAGGATTAAGTCGCAGGCTTTCAAATGCTAGCAGTCTAGGCAGCATGGAGGAAAGTTTTTATCTTCAGGCATCTTTGGACTCATCTGATTCTTTATCTGAAAGGAGAAATCCTATAGAGCCTACCATGAGCTCTTACTATTTAAAGAGTGTGACACCAAATGCTTTTGAAGCTGCCCTACGTCATAAGGAGGGTGAACTTGCATCTTATATGTCAAGATTGGTAATCATTAGATTCTCACAATTTATAGAAATGTTGTCCAGATACAAAGCAATTTTCACTGCTATAATTCGGTTGTTTTTTCACATTACAATGTGCTAATAAGAAAAAATTGGAATTACAATGTTATAGTTGGGTAAAATCTTCAAAGTACAGTGTCCTAATTATCTAATCTGATTATATGGTTGATCATGTGAACTTTAGGCATCCATGGAATCCATTCGTGACTCTCTTGCTGAGGAGTTGGTTAAATTGACAGAGGAGGTAGAATTTCCCTTTCTTTTCAATACATTTTTTTTATGGTAAATGACTATATTAACCTTTGACCTGCTTTGGTGCAGTGTGAAAAATTAAGGTCAGAAGTGTCTGTGCTGCCTGGCTTAAAGGCAGAGCTAGAAGCATTAAGACGAAGGCACTCTGCTGCACTGGAGTTGATGGGTGAACGAGATGAGGAGGTAAAGTTACCTTTTCACCCTTGATTGGTTAAGGGTAGTTTTGGTATTTTCAATTAACTAGTACCATCATGGCAGTGTTATATCTTATTTTGTTTACTTGTTTCATTATCACTAGTTTGTTTTGTCTTAGTAACTAACCGATTCATTTCATGGTAATTTTGCTTGTTTGTAGCTTGAAGAGCTTCGTGCTGATATTGTGGACTTGAAGGAGATGTACAGAGAACAAGTAAACATGCTTGTAAATAAGGTAAAAAAAAATATTTTATAAATTTAGTAAAATGAAATTGATAAAAATATATATATTTTAATCAATATTTATATAATATTCTGGTGGCTAAATTGATAAAATATGAAGGTACATTGTTTTTTCCTGTATTTAACCTTTTCTAAAATCAGGTAAAATAGCTAAGTGGCTAAACCAATAAACATGAATCTTTATTTTTCTTATGTTCTTAAATGTTTGTATCTGCAGATTGCTGCTTCATAGGGAGATCACTTCTCAGGGTAGTTTCTTCCATATGAATTTCAATCGATGGTACATGATGTAGTATATAATGGGTAAAATACATTATAACATCAAGATTTTTTTTTTAAAATTTTTTCTCATATGTTTATTTTTCGTCTTGCATTGCTATTCTTAATGCATACATGTATAAATACTTGAAAAGATTTGGCTTCTGTATGGCTGTTTACATAATGGTGTCTTTTTATTGTATTGTGAGGTGAGTTTGAGAGAAATTTGTTAACTAAGTTTGAAACGTATGTCTTCTCGTTTATATTGTAACTTTTGTTTCTAGAATTGATTTAAATATGAGAGCGATACAAGTTTTGTTTTTGTGTTTGGGATTTTAGTATCATTAAACATTTTAGGTGATTGTAATGGTTATTGAATGCTCTGACAGATAATTGCTTTAGCTTTGGTTGAATATACAATTTAGCTCGTGAAGCATTTCTTAGTCTAGACTTATATACCCAAAAGCTTTGAGAATCATTCTCAACCAAAATAAAATTGTCATTCAATGTATCCACCGCGGATGCAACTATAGGTATTAATAGACACAGACCTTAACATATAACATTTTAAGTTATATGTAAATTATTTTTCTATAAATAGATCTCTTTGGTGATATATTATGTTAATTAATTTATGTGGAAATAAATAGATTGTCATAACTCAAGTTATTTGACAATTGAAATGTTTGATTGTAAAATATCGCATATGTATTTTTAAAACCTTCAAGAAATCATTATTACAAGAACTATATTATTTTGTCGAAGTGTGTCTACCTTTGGATCAAACACACTTATATGAAAAAAGAAAGAATGAAAGAAGAATCAAAAGGAGAGCTTAATTCATTGAGAAGCTCATATGAGTCTTCCTACCAAGGCAACTAAGCTGAATACAAAAATAACCTGAATTTTCTGAATGCTCTACCTATCCCATTCTACTGACATATATAGATCTTATTGTAACTAACTCCCACGTAATAGAATTATTCTTTGGCACGTGAATTGGATCTCTTACGATTGACCATAAATGGTTTGGACCCATTGGGTTGTTCCTCACTATTGGACTAATCCATTTGTTCTTTATCACACACTTCACAAAACATACAAAATTTAATGTATTCATTACTAAAACATAAAGTGTGGAAGCTTAATTTAGATATTGATTTCAAATTTGATTAAAATAAATAAACAAAAAATAAAGATTATTACATGTTTCCATTGTGATTTTTGGATCTGATGATTAGCATGACTAGTTTTCGAGTTGTTCTTGAAACCTTTCTAAAATCAAAAAGTAAAAAAAAAAAAAAAAATCACGAATTTCTTTGTATGTATTTTGTATAATAGATTTGTTTCTCATCAAATGTTTATATAAATGAAAATATAACCAAATATGAATAATATAATGAATATAAAAATTCTTACTCAATCCATAAGATAAATAATGATAAGTATTTATCTTTATTTACTAATAGACTTTAATTTTAAATAATTTTAATACAAAGGGCTTCTAGCCCAACAGTATGAGGTGATGCCTCATTCTTTGAGGTTAAGAGTTCAAGTTTCATTGTGGATATATGTGAAATTAGATAATATATTAAATTTGTCTGTTAAAAAAATAATACTAGGAGGCACACCATCTCATCACAACACGTCAACACCAATCCACCATTGTGGGGTGGTGTTCATGCGCGGAGAGAGAGAGAGTTATTTCTCTCTATTATGACAAACTTTGTAACTGATTTACTTTAACATTACATCTACACTTATTTGATACGGTGTGTTTGTATGTCAAATACCTTGCCCGTTCACATCTTTGTTGTGGTTATCATTCACTTTTTATATAACTGAGGGGATGACTTTAACAGTCTTTTTAATGAAATGTTTTTATTTTGAAAAAATCTAGCAAGAGGATCCAAAAGACAATAGATTATTACAAAAGACAGGCTAAATTACAACAAGAACTCAAATTCGAAATTACTAATTCGCCCTTGTTTGTATCCGATAAGCACTTGCAGACTTTAGCAGTTAACTTTTTAATTTTTATAAAGAAAAAATCGAAGTTGGAATGTGTTTGTTCGAGGAGGGAAACATTAGTCGGTGAAAAATGGACGTTAATTTGTGAGTTCTTCGTCTCTACATTTCAAGCAAATCCTCTATATCTCTTACTAAATAGTTTAGGGTTTCTGTCTCCACATTTACACAATTTCCTCTTACCCATCATCGAATCTCGTCCACAAGATTCCAAAATCTGAACAGATTTCTAATGCAAATATGAAAACACTTCAAGGGTTTTGTTTCTTCACAAATTCATATTTGCAAATATGCAAATATGAACAGATTACTTTTGATTCTTCACAAAACCCTTCCACAGATTCAACCAAAATCGAACACATGAGGTGGGTTATTGTTTTTTCACATCTTTTATACTGCTTCTTCTGCTCTTCATTTATATTACTATGATGAACATGATCTTTGGTTTTGTATTATTGTATAAATTTGATTTTGAGCCAGTTTTGTATGTACATATGGTGTGGATTATGTAGTATACCTTTTGCCTTTTGCCTTTAGCCTTTAGCATTTCAATTTCGTGGATACCATACCCATATACACATATTTCCTTGTAGCCTTGTTAATTTGGGTGAAAGAGCTATTTTCCCAACAAACATTAGATTATTCATTATTAAGATGCATATGATTATGGTTTTGTGAAATTGAAATGATAAAGGCTAAAGGCAAAAGGTATACCACATAATCCACCATATGCACACACAAAACTAGCTCAAAATCAAAGTGATACAATAATACAAAACCAAAGATCATGTTCATCATACTTGAAGGTAAAGTTACTTTAGTGTGTTTCATTTTGTATCTCATGAATATATGCAAATGCAAACAGTTTCATTTATCTTTCCTTTGTGTGGTAACTATTAGTACCTAAGCTAAGTAGTAAACACATTGTATTTATTTTTCAAATCCTCAAAATGGTGTAAATTATTAGATGGTTTCATTTATCTTTCCTTTGTGTGGTAATTATTAGTACCTAAGCTAAGTAGTAAACGCATTGTATTTATTTTTCAAATCCACAAAATGGTGTAAATTATTAGATGGTTTCATTTATCTTTCCTTCGTGTGGTAACTATTAGTACCTAAGCAAAGTAGTAAACACATTGTATTTATTTTTCAAATCCACAAAATGGTGTAAATTATTAGATGGTTTCATTTATCTTTCCTTTGTGTGGTAATTATTAGTACCTAAGCTAAGTAGTAAACACATTGTATTTATTTTTCAAATCCACAAAATGGTGTAAATTATTAGATGGTTTCATTTATCTTTCCTTCGTGTGGTAACTATTAGTACCTAAGCAAAGTAGTAAACACATTGTATTTGTTTTTCAAATCCACAAAATGGTGTATATTTTGCACTTTTCACCTTTATACAATTGCTTAAAATGAAATTTTGTATGTCTGTCATTTACGTGCACGGAACCCCCTTGTTACATTAGCATTTTGTGAACTAGGTTTTCTGTGCAAACACGATTTTCTTTATTTACCGAATAGCCTACCTCAGCAAGAGCCTTTTTTCATCAATAGAACCAATAATATCTATGCATGCTTTTTTCATCTCAACCTTCCACCGATCCACATTGATGATTTGATTATATATACACCTTGAAATCTCCATTAGAAGAAAAGGCAACTTCAGATCTTTAGGATTTGATCTCTATATCGCGATCTAGGGTTTGATAGTGCATCGCAGGCGGCTGCAAAGTGTGTTTGTATGTTCATTTCTTTAACTTCATAATTTCACTTGATCTTTGCATCTTTAATCAATCTATGTAGTTGATCAAGAATGGAAGGTTGATCTAAAAAGTTTCTTGTAGGAAGAGTTATGAATGCAAGAATCAACCTCTTCTTAACTTCAATACAATTACTTTTTTCCATTTTTTTTTGTTATGTAGTTGGTTATGATGATTTCATGTTTTTTCAAGTTATTGTGATTGCAATGCACATGGATTTGTTGATATGTGCGACTAATCTCAATTTTTGGCTCGATTGAATTCTAGGGTTTTCAAGTTTCTAGTGATTGAGGAAAATCCATGTCGATTAACATGCTTCCGAGGGGGTTCGTTTTCAACAACGAATCAAATTGCCAAACAAGTGGATTCAAGAATTTCAGCATTCGGTATGTTTGGATTTGAAATTTGGAATTAGCATTTTAAAGCATTTGTTCATTGATATCTGTTGATTTAGTTTCTAATTCCACATTTCTTAAATGTCCTTTGACCGAAGCTTGAAGATATGTGACTACCTCAAATCATGTTGGGGGGTTGGATATGTAGCCTAATTTGGATCATGAACTAGATTTGATTTCATTCATCCAACTTTCTAAGTCTGTATTCTCATCATAATTTTTAATTCATGCATATCATGTGAATATTGATTTGGGGTCTATTTGGATCTATATGTACATCTTGTGTGACTTTTTTTTATAAGGTAAATAAAAGCATGTAAACTAACAAAGGTGGTTTATTGGTGATCATCTGGGATTTAAACTCCTCAAAATGGAAAGGTCCTAGGTTCGAATCCTACAGTCTTCAACATTGGGATTGCATTCCATTCAAAAATAAATAAATAAAAGCATGTAAACGAATTGCAATTCTTTATCTATGCCTACAGAAACCCAAAATTTGGAATATTTTTTTAGGATTTGCTAATTAATTGAGGAAATTCAGGGAGTATGTCGCTGCTGTTCGTGAAAGAGATCCCACAGTATGTTGGCCCTTTGGATTAATTTGTGAGTTCAAGGATCGCAATACTCAAAATGTGGCTCCTGAAACATCATCCTTGAGTAATCTAAAAATTACAGAAGATACTAATGCTTCTAAATGTAAGTGACAAACTAAATTCTATGTAGAACTTGATGCATTGATTGTATTTATGTCTCCATGCTGATATGCAGTCTTCCTGTTCTTTTTTTGTTTTCTTTTTTTTCTTTTTTTACAGTACCCAAAGTTCAAAATTCCAAGGGTAAAGAGGTTGTTGAATTTGAAGCTCCAACAGGTATATGTGTAGGAATTTTCTTAATTCTAACTATAAAATGGACCAAACAAGTTTGTTTTCAATATACAATACAACCAAACTAAGGTTCTGTTTCTTTTTGAGTTAATGGGGGCATGACTTAATCTGATAAGCTATATATGAATGTTTCTTTCTAACTTAAGGCAGAAAGAATGACTTAACAGAGAAAGTCAGGAAAACGAGGCTTCTCCATTAAGTCCTTACTTTTTACAAACTTGCCCTCATTTATTTTTTCATTCCATTATCTCAAGTGTTGTGACAATCGATCATGATGTGATCAGATATGTCATTTGATGCTGATGAGTTGTGTTTTTTTCTGGTCTATTGACAGCATTTGAAGGGGAGGTTTCCAAAAACAATGAGGCTGGATCTAAAACTGTTACAGGTACATCTGTAATGAAGAAATGTCACATATGGAACCTGATTTGGTCTTTGTTAAATACACATTTATGCTACAGTGTTTCACCTTTTTCTCAATTAATGCAAAAAAGTGGTTTTCTATATGAAATATTCAACGAAGTTTCGTTTTCGGACCAAAAGATGCAATTTTTTATGAGTAACTTGTATAGTCACTAGCATTATCATTGCATTCGTGTTAGTTGCATAAAATGGTAAAAAGGTACATTGTTGCATAATTTGATAATAATGTGAAACATTTTTGTGTAAATAAGCATTTAACTGGTGCCACATCATGAGGTAACCAGTTACAATGTTGCTAATTTGGTCCTAAAATGAAAAGTGGATCCGCATTTTGTTTAAAAAAACAGTTTGTTGCATAAATTGGGAAAAAGGGGAAACTTTGTTGCAAAAATGTGCATTTAGCACTTTGAATTTGTATTAGACATGTATGAATTCTAACAAAGATTTTGGATATTCTTTGTTCCATGAACTAAAACAGAACTTTTTTTTTTCTTAATCTATAATAAGAGTTTTTGCAATGACCTTAAAACAATGGTCATATATGTCATTTGATGCTGATTAAAAGTTTGTTGGATTTCTTGACAGCAGTTGAACTTGAATGGACCAAGGAAAACAACACTGAATCTGAAATTGCAATTGCTATGAGTATGTATTTTGATGAATTATAAGTCTGCCCTCATTTATTTTTGTTCCATTATCTCAAATATTTTTTAAACGCAATTTCTCTAGCTTGTTTGATTCTAATGACAATATTATTTCTTGGATTTTGACAGCATTACTAGAGATTTCTAAGGGAAACAAGACTCAGTTGGAGACTTCTACAGGTACTGATTTTAACAATTAGACTCAACTTATGTTTTGTTCAAAAAATGTTTTACAAATGTTCAAAAAAGTATAATGGTTCAATCACTAAGAAAATAGCTAACTGGTTAAATTGATAAAATAGTTAAAGCACAAGTATAATGGTTAAATTATGAAATGGTTAAAGCAAGTGTAAAGGTTAAATTGATAAAATGGTTAAAGCACAAGTGTTCAAAAAAGTATAATGGTTCAATCACTAAGAAAATAGTTAACCGGTCAAAAAGTTATAATGGTTCAATCACTAAGAAAATAGTTAACTGGTTAAAGCACAAGTGTTTTTCTGTATTCTCCCCTTCTTTAAATTATATAACAAGAAGTTTGTCAACAACAATGAATGTAAGTAGCTTCTTAAAGGAGCATTTTGTTATAAATATTGATTGTATATGTAATCTGATACTGATAACAAGATTCCACCCATTTTTTTTACAGAATTTGAACTTGAAATTCCCAAGGGGAAGAAGACTCAATCTGAAAATGCTTCAGGTACAATTTCTAACAACTAGATGTATAATATGGAGAGTCTGATTCGAAATTTCAGACATTCATATAAAATGTTGTTTATTGCATGATCCAAAAGTGAAAGAAACAGTTTTGTTTTTCTAATTTTGTAATAAGAATTTTGGCTACAACAATGAATGTAGGTAAATCTTTGAAGTATGGTGTTGTTGATTCATCTTTTATAATTGTATATGTCACTGATTGCTGATAAAAATTGGCTCGTTTCTTGACAGCATTTGAACTTGAATGGACTAAGGGAATTGAGACTGGCAATGAATCCGACACTGCTACGGGTACACATTGTTACTCCTTTTGATTAAATGCAAAAAATAGCAATATACTTTCACTAATTTATTTGTTATAGCATCTTACTTTCATTTCATCCTAAAAGTACAATGAAATTTTGGTAAAATTTTTAAAAGTACAATGTCTTAATAATGTAACAGAAAGAAAAGATAGTAGCATGGTATTGTTAGTGTGTACAAGTCCTTTGAATTTTGGTAATAAGTTGTTTTTATGCAGAGATTATTACTTCGAAAGACCTAAATGATTGTATGGGTGAAGATATGAGTGATGGAGGCACAGAATTGGTGAATTTATCTGAATCTGAAAATGAAGAAATTGTGAAAGGATATGGAGGGAGGAAAACTGAAATTGTGGTGATTAGTGATGATGATGATGCTAATTTAGAAAAGACTTCAAAGCCAACCAAAAAAAGAAAAAGTCGTGGTTTGTCTGAATTAATGAGGGATCCCACAGGCTCAGATATCGAATCCACTCTACATTTTGCTGATACGGTTGATGGTAAGCTTCTCTTCTAATTCAGGAATGAATTTCAAGCAAATCAGAAAAGGACAAAAGACAGAAAAACACTTGTACTAAGTTTTCACCATTTTATCACCATTATTACTTTTTTTTGTTACCATATAAAATAACCATTTTCTTCGGTTAACCAGTCAGGAAAGCACATCATACTTTCAAAATAGTTCATCTATTTAGCCACTACCGAACTATTATTTTTTTAATCGATTTTGTCATTTAACTATTTTTATGTAGTGATTAAACCATTAACTTTTTTACCTGTTTAAAAAATCATTTTCTTGTGGTTACTCAGTTTTAATATTAGGGAAAGTACAGAAAAACACAACATGCTTTCATCATTTTATCTCTTTAGCAACTGAAGTACTGAACTATATTTTTTTTGTAACGAAAAATGTTTTATCTTTAAAAAAAAGCATAAGGGTTTAATCACTGCAAAAAACAATTAAATGGCTAAATCAATAAAGTGGTGAAAATATGTACATTTTTCCCAACAAGAAAAACAATTTTTTTTTGTTAATTTTCCTACATATTCATTCTGGCACAGAATATACTGATGAGTCTGATGAAGATTTCATCATCGATGATTATTATGACGAAGATGACTCCACCAATGATGAAACTGTGTGGATGTCACCAGAAAAACAAAAGGCTCTTAAAATTACTTCTAGAAGCAACCGTTCACGAAACTACAACAAGAAGAAGACATCTGCACCCAAACCCAAACCCAAACCCAAACCCAAATCCAAACCCAAATCATCGAACCGTGGACCCAAGGCCAGGACCAAGCGTGCTAAGCTACACCCACAACCACATAACAACTTTGCTGCGCGAAAGCTAGCTGATGCGGTTGAAGCTGAGGTGGCATTGGCAGCTAATCAGAAAAGGTCTGGTTTGTATGACATGCGAGGTGGGACCGGGCGGACTGTTGTGGGTCAGCCCGTGGCGGGAGCTGGTGGGTCGAAGGATCCGGGTCCGGTGGTTATGGGCACACCAGGTAAGCAGTGGACCCTGGTGTGTTTATTTAACAGGAACCCAGCTGATTTTACCATAATCGGTCCTGGGAATAATTACATGACAAGGTTCTGAGTTCTGAGTTGAGTTGGAAACTTTATATATATATATATATATATATATATATATATATATATAGTAGTATGTATGCATATCATCAGATGGAAACTAGACTTTGTTACTCGGATCTGATGGTTTCTTAGGGTCAAAATAAACTTTAGTCGTGTGTTTGGATTTATGGTCTATGTGGGGTCTTGTGGATGTTTGATCCTCTTTTTTATGTGTGTTTTTTTTTGGTAAATCTATCATCAAACTTTTCATATTTCTTTTCTCCAGGTCAAACTGGTGGGAAAAAGTGTGTGTGTGTGTGTTTTTATTTCTTTTCATGAACAAATTATATATATCCCTGGGTATGGTATCTGGTTCTTGCATGCATGTTTTGTGACAAAATTTTCTCTAAACCTGTCATCAAAACCCCCTGGAATGACACCATCTTGGAATTTGAAGATGGGTGTAGAACTCTTTGTTTTTGGGGTCTTATATGAAATACAAAGAGCTATATGGTTGGAATGTAAAGTTTTATGATTTTCTTTTTAGAACGGAAGCTAAAATTTTTTAAGGATTTGACCTAGGTTTCTCTACAAAGATTGTATGTTATAAAACAAATTGCTGATGAAGATTTCAAGAGTTTCGATGTAAAACAAATTGTTACTATGTAATGGTAGACCCAACAAAAAAACAAGTCTCAAGGGATATGTTCTAATGACAAAATCATGTTTTTTTGAGAAAGAGATAAATCTCTATCAAGGCCGAGAGAGAAGGTGACTTTGAGGCTTATACCAGATCACCAAACCGACAAGACATGACAATGAGAGAAAAAAATTAGAAGATAGATCAGAATGAAATTCCTTTGTTGTGTTCTTAGGGGTGTTTGGATAGGAAAAAAAGAGGGTGCTTATTATTTATTCTCATCACAATAAGTTAAGTTTACTAATTTTAATAAGCATCTCTCCGGTAGTATATTGCTTATTACTTATACCCATCACAAATAAGCTAATAAGCAATAAGTTAATAAGCTAATCCAAACACCCCCTTAATCATTGAAGAAACACTTCAACCATTGTCAAGGAAACGTAGGTTCCATTCCAAAAGTATGTTCTCCCCTAGATCCACCTTTTAGCAACTACTATTTTTATACTTCATTGGCAATACAACCTTTAACTAAAAACAAAATTCTATAAATCCTTTTTTTTGTCACCTTGGTTAATGATGTGTAATTGATAGTCTATAAACATGAGATAACTTAAAAACAATTCAATCTAATAATGGTGTCAAAAACTTATGACATAAAAGATATAGAAATGAAAATACAAATCTATTTTTACATTTATAATTCATAATAAACCAAACTGACTATCTACATAAAGCAGTGGATCCGAAGCACATCCCTAGTTATGTTCATTTCATGGTCAAACTATTAGTTCATAATCAAATAGATGATCTGGAGTACATTAAATTATGTTGATGTTTGGACTCAGAATCACTAATGAGTTTTTTCCTGCTTGCCTAATGATTACACAAGTCTAAATGTATTTCTACTCTGGGAATTGCTGCTTACTATTATGGTTTATCACTCTCACTTATTAGTAACAACTTTTGCTTTGACATCGGCTTTTTTCTCAAAAAAATTAGGAAGAAGTTGAGATAGAGGCAAATGTGGTTGGAGAAAAGGGCAATCTAGTATATCAGTAGTGATTGATATAAAAAAGAAAGGCAGTAAAGAGAAGGTGGTTGTCGGGAAACAATGGATGCGTGTGACTCCTTTCCAAAATTTACAGGCTGGAAAAAGCAAGCTCTAAGTAACCACTCATACATATTATGATCTTTATTCATCTTTCCCAACTTTTTGCTTTCATTCCCATATTTAAACTCTCTGTATGTAAAGTCTATACCACATAGCTTCTAGCATCTAAAATGAAGAATAAGTTAGTCTTTGTATGATAGTTAATATTATATCTGTATATAACAACAGATTATAAATTCTTTAGACCCCATGCTATTGTTGTAACATATACATAAAGCACTCTGATCCTAGCTACTTGAGGGCGCCACATGTTCGCCTGAATTATCAATTTTCTCACCTTTTGGTACAACTTTATCCGCACATGGACCATAAGCCCTACTACACGCAACATAATAAAAAAAGTTCACTGAACTCAGTATAGCAAGAAGCCAATAGTACCTCTCATAATGACCCTTGTTTATATCAGTAGATATCCAACTCACTTTTCCACCCCTTTTAGTAAGAGCATCCACAGTGCTTAGTATCAAACTAGCCAGTAAGCTTGCGACACCTGACCCAAGCATGTATAGAGAAGATGCTATGCTTGACATACTCTTTGGGAATTCAGAATAGTAAAACTCTGTTTGGCCTATTATGTTCAACGCCTCTGCTAATCCAATAAGAACAAGCTGTGGAATAAGCCACTTTGCTGACATGTTCACCACTGCTTTAGAGTCATTCAAAAACCCTTCTTCAATCGCTTTAGTTTTCCTTATGTGCTCCACAATTCCCGAAAGCACCATGGCGATTATTCCAAAAACAAGACCTGCCCCCATTCGTAATTTCACACTTATGTATACCTGTTGCCCTTTGATTTTTGACAATAAAGGGAGGATAACTCGGTCGTATAATGTGACCCAAATCATTATGGTTATGATTACAAAGAAGGAAAAGGATCCTGCTGGGATTTCAAAGCTTGAAGTGATATGTCTATCCATTGTATTGGCTTGAAGGACTGGAAATGAACTTTGGTTCATGGTCACAGCTAACATGATACTTGAAGACCACAATGGCATCACTTTAATAAGCGCCTTTAGCTCTTCAACTTGCTCTACTGTGCAAACTTTGCTCGTCTCTTCAGGTTTCCTACTTATGCAAGCCTTGTTTAAGAACCTTAAAAGGTACCATAAACTGATTTAGTCAAAGATCAATATTACCTAGAATTAGAAAGCAATAACATATTGATTGACATACCTCAAGGTATCTGTGGGCATAGTTTTTCCATTCGTATCACTCACACTCAAACAGGGTAACTTTTGGTTTCTGTTTTTCCAAGCCATGGATATGACTTTGCAGAAGCTAGTAAACATGCTTTTCTCGACCTTTATGTTATAGTAAAGAGGATAAGCCACAACAAAAACGAAAGTAGACAAGAACATGAGAACAACCGGGATCCCGAAACCAACTCTCCATCCTTGATGATCTTGAATATAAACAATACCAGTAAAAGCAATAAGAACAGCCACAATAGCTGTCGCGTAATACCACCCGAAAAAACTCTCCAATACCCTCTCTCTTTTCGGATTATCCTTACAGTCTATTTGATCAGCCCCAAATGCTAACGAACACGGTCGTACCCCGCCAGCTCCAACCGACATAAACGTGAATGCTAAAAAGAGGAGACCATACTGGAGAGGTGTCGGTGATGCACATGATCCTGGCACCCGAACATTACAAACCGGAGGTTTTGCTACCGGGATCACCGTAGTTAACCATAGAAGGATCATCCCCTGGAAACACATAAAAAATGGTTTCCTAGTTAGTTTAGATTTAGGAACTACAGTTGCATATTGATCGGGCCAGACTGGTCTGGAATGATTGAATTGACCAGTCTGGTCTGGACCGGTCTGAGTGTGCAACTATAAAGGAAGTACGTAGGATTGTACCATGAGACTGAAGATGGAACCGAGAAAAATGGTGAGGAAGCGGCCGAGAAGGGAATCGGAGAGAAAAGCACCGGCGATGGGGAGGAGATTGGTGGCGGCCGACCAAATTAGGAGGATGTTTGTACCGAGGGCGAAGCTCGTATGGTAATCGGACATAAGGTATATAATCATGTTTGGGAGTAGACCAAAACTTGCCACTTTTTCAAATGATTCATTTGCTGTTTGCCATAAGTTGTAACCAATCACAAAACTAGGAGTAAGTATATAGATTCACAATCAAATTGAAAAAATAAGTAGACAAAGTATGAATACCTAAGATGAATGGCATGGTTATTATACCACCCTTTTGCCTTCCTGTAGACCTTTTCTCTTTCATTTCACTTTCTTCTGTCAAAGGAATTTCCATCTATCTTTATGTGTGATATGAAAAGAACACAAAGAAAAATAAGTGCATCATCAATAACCAGCTTTGCCAATGGATTGTCTTAATCCGATCATGAGTGATGTTATAATGAATGATTTGCCAATAGATCATCTAGACAACTGCCGTAAGTATCTTTGAATTGTACATGAAACTAAAATTCTCTCTTGCTGACGATTTGTTTTGCATGCTTATATGGTTGACATGAACTTTGTAAACAGTTGTGCAAAGGTAATAGATTATGTATATATGTTTGGATTTTGGGTATGTGACAAAAGAAAAGGCCTTGGTCTTGGTGTTAGCTTTAGTTTAGTAGGATAGGATTGTTGGAATGATCGTTTTATAGCTAATGTTTCCTTTTGTTTTTAGTATCCATGAACCACGTGGGTGTAGGCCGGGTTTTGTTGCAAACTTTATTAACAATAGTACTTTGTTTTAAGTGGTATTTACCGACTACTTTTTGGCTACTCTTTTTTAGTACATGTAAAATATAAATATGAAAAAACAGAACAGAAAAAAAAAGTAAATCAGACTCTCTGGATAGCCCAACATAAACCCGTCCTACAGCCCAACACTTGAGCATTAGACCCGGCTTGTGAGCTTAGTGGTGCCCAAAAAAACCGGTTTATGTTGAACCAGTCAAAGAACCGGTAAACCAGTTTATGTTGAACCGGTCCACAGTGAACCGAACTAGTTTGAGAACCGAACCACCGGTTTACACCCATTCGAGAATTTTGTCATTGAAACCGGTTTATATCGTGTGAACCAGTTTGAAACCGGTTTAGATAGGTTCGATTAATTTCCTGAGTGAACCGGTTTGAACCGAACCGATTTGAGGCTGAACCGGTTTTCCTTGGCTATGGAGTGAACCTAACTGGTTTAAAGAACCGGTTCGGTTTGGAAAAAAAATCCAGTTTGTGCATGC